TCACAGCAACCTCCAACTCCTGGGCTCAAGCGAGTCTCCTGCCTCCACCTCCCAAGCAGCTGGGACCACAGGCGCCCGCCACAATGTCTGGCTATTTTTTGGTTGCAACCATTATTGTTGTTTGGCGGGCCTGGGCTGGATTCGAACACGCCACCTTAGGTGTATGTGGCTGGCGCCTTAGCCACTTGAGCCATAGGCGCCCAGCCTATTGTTGTTTTAGCTGGCCTGAGCGGGTTCAAACCCGCCAGCCTTGGTATACATGGCTGGCACTGTAACCACTGTGCTACAGGCACTGAACCCAGTTTTTTTTTCTTTTTTTTTTTTCCAGGCAGAATCTCACTCTGTCACCCTGGGTAGAGTGCTATGGCATCACTGCTCACAGCAACCTCAAACACTTGGGCTCAAGTGATCCTCTTGCCTCAGCCTCCTGAGTAGCTGGGACTATTGGTGCCCACCACAACAGCTGTTTTTATTTTATTTTAGTTTTATTTTTGAGACAGAGTCTCACTTTGTTGCCCTCGGTAGAGTGTCATGGCATCACAGCTCATAGCAACCTCAGACTCTTGGGCTTGCCTCAGCCTCCCAAGTAGCTGGGACTATAGGTGCCTACCACAATGGTGGGCTATTTTTTTTTTGTTGTTGTTATTGTTTGTTTTGTGGGCTCAGGTCGAGTTTGAACCCATGAGCCCTAGAGCACGTGGCTGACACCCTAACCACTGAGCTATAGGCATGGCCCACCCAGCTGTTTTTACAGACGGGGTCTCCTCCCTCTTGCTCAGGGTGGTCTTGAGCTCCTGAGCTCAGGCAATCCACTTGCCTCGGCCTCCCAGAGTGCTAGCGCTGTGAGCCACTGCATCCGGCCTCAATCCAGTTCTTATTAATGATCTAGAACTACCAAGTACGGAGCACCTAAGTGCTGAGTGTGCTGGACTAGGAAGTGATTGTCTCACGTTAGCCTCACCTTCAGTATTATTTTTTCGTAAATGTTTTCTTCTTTCATTCATTCTCGGTTTAGCTATGTCAGTATCACATGTGAGACCAAAACTGAACTCTACTCACACTCCCCTTTAGCTGCTGAGAGTCCTTACATCTCTACGGTGGCTTTGTGTCTGCCATGTCCCCCGTCACCTGTGGGCTTCAGAGTTCCCTGTGTTTCCCTGATCACTTCTCCTTGTGCCTAGAGGGAGGATTTGGAAGTATTGACCAGGAAGTGGTTAAAAGCCAATAGGTCGCTCCATTTTTTCTGTCCTCCTGGCCTTCCTCTCCCTCCTCTTCCTCTCACCCACTCGTTCCCTGCCTGGCCCTGTCTGGTGTCATTGAGGGGTATCCGGATGAGGTGCCTGTTCTAGTGGGTTCCGTGCACACTGGCCTCTTTCAGTCTCGGAGGTGGTGCCTGCTCTGAGCGTTTTCCTTCTCTGTGGCTTTTGGTGATTCATAGTTGAGATTGGCACAGGGAGAGGAGAGAGGGAGCTGCCCCGGGCGCCTCTGCACATGGTCACTGGTCTGGCTGGGAAGCCTGCTTCTTCAGCTACGTGGTCACGGTGCAGAAGCCTCCCTCTTGCTCTCCTGCAAGTCCTGCGCAGAGAGACCCATCTTTCTGGGGACCTGGGCCAGGACCTTCTGTGGAGAGGAAATCCTGTTTCTTGACTGAGTTCCTTGTGTGCTCACCAGTTCCCTCCCAGCAATCGGGCAGGGCTGCTCTGTCAACACGTGGAAAATCCCACCTTTCCCGGGCTTCTGTGGGGCCTGGAGGGAGTTTTTCCAAAGGAACTTTGACCAAGGTGCCAACGCAAAGAGCAGCTAGTTTATGTTGTGCCAGCCCCTCCCTTTCCTGTCGCCCACGGCTGGTCTCATTTCCCGAAGGCAGACAAAGGAGCGACAGAAGCAAAGGAAAGAGACGCAGGCCAGCGGGAGGCTTGAAGAGGGCCCAGCCCTGGAGTCATAGGTGTTTGGCTTGGCCCAAGCACCCTGTCTCATTTTTCAACTTTTCTAGGACAGAAGGGTAGCAGCTGACACTTGTTGAGAACTTGCTCTGCAGCCAGAGTGGCAGGCTGGATCTCTCTAGAGCAGCGGTTCTCAACCTGTGGGTCGTGACCCCTTTGCAACAATGAAAATAGATCCTGCATATTAGATATTTACATTAGGATTCATAACGGTAGCAAAATTACAGTGGTGAAGTACCAACGAAAATAATTTTATGGTTGGGGGTCACCACAACGTGTGGAACTGTATTAAAGGGTCCCAGCATTAGGAAGGTTGAGAACCACTGCTCTAGAGAGCAATTGAGCTTGTGTAAGAATCCCCTGGAGGGCTTGTTCAGATGAAAGTTGGGGGGCTGCACCTTCATAGTTTCTGGGGTGCTGCTCAAGAATGTTGCATTTTAATGACTCCCCAGGTAAGGTAGGTGTTGCTGGCCCGGCAACTGCTATGTAGAGAAGTTGGACTCCAGGGCTGAGCTGTCCAGCCTGGGAGCCACTTAAACTGAATTGATTAAAATCAAATAAAAAATTAGTTCATCAGTCACACTCAGCATGTCTCAAGTGCTCAGTGGCCACACATGGCACAGATGTAGAAATTTCCATCATCCTAGAAAGTTCTACAGGGCAGCGCTGAGGTTTGATTCTCAGCCCTAACATTTACTGATTGTGAGAATTGGGATAAATGATTTAATTTCTCTGGGTCCCTGTTTCTTTGTGTGTAAAAGAGAGAGAATCATAGTCCTGACCTCCCGGGCTGGTGTGAGAGAGGGTTTAGTAAGTTCATATGTGGAAAACGGATGGACAGTGCTTGGCTTGTGTTGAACCCTCAGCATATGGTCCTCGCTGTCACCTATGGTTGTGAAGTTGCCTGGGGTGCTGGTGGAGTTTGTGCAGCATCAGGGTAGCATGAAAGTTTCCTGGGGCTGCCAACTCTGATCCTTGGGTTTTGGCTGGCTGGGGTGCAGCGTTGAAGGGCCCTGATGGCTTAGTGCCATCTGTCCTGGGAAACAGAAGGGCTCTTGGTGGGGAATAGTTTTGCCATCCTTACCCAAAGGGATTGCCCTGGTTCCTTACCTGCTGTCCTAGATGTAACCCCCAGGAAACACGACCTGAAATGGAGGTTTGTGTGTAGGAGGCTTACTGGGGAGCTAGAGTTTCCAACACCTACAGGGAGTGGCGGTCACAGCCATGGCTTCAGCTGGCCCCATGGGTCAGCCCTGCAGAGCTGTGTTGGATTGAGGCCAGGCTTCTGTTCTCATGCATGGACCAGGCATCAGACACTGGCTGCCCTTGGCAGGGGCTGTGACCTTGGATGAGCCTTGCTTTCTATCTGATGACAAGTCCAATGCCAGGGACTCAGCAGGCCTGTGTTGGCCAGAGGCAGGAGTGAGGAAGGGGCTTGTCTAGTGGAGTGGGGTGGGGCAGTCTTGGCACTAGGAGCCTAGAGATGGTCTAGTCCCCTTTCACTGCCATGGTAAGGCGAGGCTTTTGGACCAGGTGGGCACCCATGTTCTGGGTCCATATGCTCATGCCCTGGGTTTGCTCTGCTGGTCCCCAAGTAGTAACTCTGGTGGTCCAGTCCCTCGGTCTTTCTGTTTCTGGACATGGGACATATTCTCTGCCCAGTTGCAGCCAGGGCTACTGAGGGGAGTCTGACCTCTCCCCTGCTCCCAGGCTGAGTCCGCTGTGCCACCAGCTCAGTCTAGCCCTCTCCTGCCTCTGTGGACACCATAGTCCCTGCTCACTGCTCCTCTGACTTTGCCCCATGTCCCTCTCCTGCTGGCTTCCCTGCCTGCCCACCAGGGCCATCTGCTGCTCGTAATGCCTCTCCAGGGAACCATTGCTGCCACCCCTGCAGGAAGCAGGGGTGAGGCGTGTCCTGCTGGTGAGAGTCTCTGAGATTAGAGAGGCTGTGAGAACCAGGGTAAGAAGGTTGGAGGAGGGGACGTGGGGATGGCCTGGAGTTGTGCTGCCCTGCTCCAGGGGCAGCTGCTGGACGGTGACATGCTTGTTTCTAAACATGGTGGCAGAGTGGACAGTGTCAGGAAACAGAGCTGTTTTCTGCCCATAGCCTGCTGCCCTCTCTAGCTCTGCTGGACCCTCGGCTCTCCAGCCAGAATCGTCCGGATCCTGCACCCTTGGCCCACACCAAATCCACACATTTGGGATGCCCGGATTTGGGATTTCCCCATTTCCCTGACCATCCTGTAGCCTGTTTTCTTCCTAGTAACATGAACACACATGTGTGTCTTTGGGAAAATATTATGAAAGATTCCTTATATAGATTATAGGCGTTCCTTGTCAGGGCCGTGGTCATTGCAGGCAGACTGGGTTGGAGGCTGAGTCTAGGGGGGGATGAGGTATGAGCCCTCTGGAGCCTCGGTTTCTTCCTCCTGAGATGACAGTGGTGCCTACTGTGTACAGTGGCTTAAGCATTAAATGAGTTGACGTGTATGTAGGAAGCACCCCAACAACTCCTGCAAGATAAGCGGTTAGAGTCCCAGCTGCTGTTACTGTTGTTCCCACTGTCCTTATCTCTTTTCCTGGGTTCTCTCCCTTCCTTTCCTTTTCAACTCAACCTGACCCCCTGGCAGCAGTGAAGCGCACTCAGGAAGATTTCCGTGACCGTCATTCCGGTCCTGTGACTGTATGTTTTGGAATTGGATTCGGATCCAGCTCTGACCTTGAGCAGCTCGCCCTGACCCCTGCCCTTGACACCCTGCCCTTGCCTGTTCTGTACCCAGTGGTGGGGAAAGGGTGAGCAGTCAATCGTGTGTACTTTGAAGGGGACAGAATGTGGTGAGGGTTACTTAACTTTACCACCTGGAGGACACCAGGGCAGCCTGGCTAATGAGGAGCCCAAATTGGGTCTGTTCCTTCCTGCTTCCCCTCTCTGGCTCGGGTGACCTTGCCTTTCTTAGAAGCCCTTCGGTGTTTTTTCAAAAAAATTCTTTATTAGGGCGGCACCTGTGACTCAAAAGAGTGGGGCGCCAGCCCCGTATGCCATAGGTGGCAGGTTCAAACCCAGCCCCAGCTGAAAACTACAAAGAAAAAATTCTTTATTTAAAAAAATGCTTTATTTTATTTTCTACTTGTTTATTTTTGAGGGATTGGGTGCCAGAGTTCCTCACTTATTCCACACCCCTCTTGTGTCTTCCCCGTGCCTGGCTAGAATCTTCTCTTCTGATTCTGTGGGGCCTGTGTTTTCATAGGATTGTAGGCAGAGACAGTGGGAATCTCCATGGTACAGTTAATGTGTATCACTGATTAGATGGCCAGGCATTTGCCTGTGTAAGGGAGTCTCACCATGACGCTGACTCTGGTCGTTTAACCGCCCTTTGATGAATTTCTTTACTTTTTATTTATTTTTTTTCTTAGCGTCCCACTCTGTCACCCTGCATAGAGTGTCGTGCCATCATATCTCACAGCAACCTTAAATTCTTTTGGGCTTGAGCAATCCTCTTGCCTCAGCCTCTGAGTATCTGGGACTACAGGTGCCTGCCACGACACCTGGTTAGTTTTTCTGTTTTTAGTAGAGACAGGGTCTTGCGCTTGTTCAGGCTGATGGTGAGTGAATTTCTTCACTTTGATGCTCAGAGCTCTGGGCAGAAATCACCTTGTGTCAATGCCTGGTGTGGTCCTATGTGATCCCCGTGGCATTTTGTACCCAGGGTTGTCTGGTCATCTGATACTGTTCTGCCCATGCTGAATCTCCTATATGGCCTGCCTGCATGGCTGTCTCTGAAGGGGGTGGGGACCAGCCTCCTCGCTTCTTGGAGTGTCCCCTCCACCTCCAACCCAGGGCGACTTGGTCCTCATTAGTGCTCAGTGCACAGCCATTGGCCAGGCTCTGCCACAGGGGGGCGCCTGAGGCCGGGAGGGGATGGGGGTGGCTAAACTGTCCTCTGTGGAGGACCCTCGAGGGTGACAGAGCTGGGGTTTCCCTTTTTTTTGCAGCATCAGCCTCCGAGAGTTGAAGACCATCTTGCCCCTGGTCAACTTCAAAGTGAGCAGCGCCAAGTCCCTCAAAGATAGGTTCGTGGTAAGTTTGGCAGCTTAGCCCGGGAATTTTACTAACTCAGGGCTACTTAGCACCTCCTGCAGGAAGCTTGCTTGTGCCTTTGAGCTCTGTGGAATGGTACCCGAGTGGGTATTTTGCCCCTAGAGTGCTGCTTAGCCCAGACAGAAGGCTCATGTATGTATCTGAGGACCATGTCCTCAATCCTCGCAGAGGATGTTATCAACAAAGACTGTGTTTGCTGTGCTGTCTGACTCGGCACCTAAACTTGCACCTGTTCCCACCAGTCCAGCATTCCCTGTTGCCCTGACCGTCCCCCCACCCATTTTCTCCCTAGTAACAGGATCACGTGTGTATCTTTTGGAAACTGATGTGAAAGATTCCGTATGTGGGTTGCCAGGAGCATGGCGTTTTGTATGTGAGCCCTGGTGGTGTGGTTGTGAGAGTTGGTTCTTTTCTGCAGCCTTCCGTCCTTCCAGCTGTCATGTAATTCAGGTTCTCATGTGACCAAGATGTTGGTGGAGCTGAGCAGTAGAGCCTCATGAGAGATGGGATGCTGTGGAGAGGTGGGGCTTTGTGGTGTGAGGATGGGGACTACCCATGGGCACCCCTCTTTGCCCACAGTGTGACGCTGACTCTCCTTAGCAAATGTACAATCCTCTGTCCCCAGTGGGAAGACTCACATGGCCATGTCAGCCATCACAGGATTCCTCGGCTGAAAAAGCTCATTCTTTTTTTTTAAAGACAGAGTCTCACTTTATCACCCTTGGTGGAGTGCTGTGGCATCACAGCTCACAGCAACCTCCAACTCTTGGGCTTAGGCAATTCTCTTGCCTCAGCCTCCCAAGTAGCTGGGACTACAGGTGCCCACCACAACATCTAGCTATTTTTTTTTGTTGTTGTTGTTGCAGTTTGGCAGGGGCTGTGTTTGAACCCACCACCCTCTGTATATGGGGCCAGCACCCTACCGACTTAGCCACAGGCTCCATCTAGCTCATTCATTGTTTATACTGATGAGCTCTGAGAAGACTTAACTTACTGCTTCTTAGGCATCCTTTGATGCTTAATGTTGTCCCCAACATTCCACATTTATCCAAAAATGGAAAAGAAAATTGGAAGGCGGAGGGATTTAAGAAGAGAAGAAAGATGGCAGAAGCATTTATCATTGTTACTGTATAACTGAATTTCTTTTTCCCTTTGAGTATTTAGTGAGCCAGACATTGTGTAGACATTACCTTGTTTATTTTGGGAACGCCATGGGAGTGTAGTGGTTGCTCTCCCATATCCTAGATAAAGAAACTGAGGGTCTGGAATGGTCAGAGACATTGCCCCAAGTCACAAAGCAGTTGATGGATGCAGAGCTCTGACTTCATAGCCTTGGTCAGATTTATATTTTTTTATGCCCTTAAAAAGTGATGTATATGTCTGTGCCCTGTAAATATGACTGGATTTAGAAGTCCAAAGGGAGTGTCTTCTGCCTGAGAGAGGAGGAGTGATAGATATTGCATTGTGGAAACCTGGCTAAAATTCTTCCCTGTGGGGGCTCAAGAGAGGGGTGTATTTGGCAGGGGTCCCCGTGAGTATTTTCTCCCAGGCAGGTGAATTAGGAAACTTGTGGCTGGTTTTGGCTCAGAGGAATGTGTGTTTGCTTTTAACCAATGTTGTAGCAAAGCCATTTAGTTTCTGTACACAAGGCATTCTTACCATGGACTTCAAACATCCTAGGGTCACTTTTTGCATTTCATGTATTTACAGGAAATAGGTGCGCACAAAGACGAGCTCAGCTTTGAACAGTTCCATCTCTTCTATAAAAACCTTATGTTTGAGCAGCAGAAATTGGTAAGATGATTCTTGAGCACATGATCACATGATGTTTCTACTTTGTACGTACATCAAAGTCTTGCATGTTCCTATGAAGCCCACGAGAGCTGCTGCATCTCCCATTTGGTCAAGGAAGTATATGTGAGGGTGACAGCAACATTTCATTTTCACCTGGTAGATTGCCAGAAGTCTTTAACTGTGGCAATGGGAGAAAGGTAGTGACTGGTGTTTGCAAATGTGCCCTGGTGAACCTGTGATTGGAATTTGGTCTGAGTCATTACCGTAAAAAAAGTTGCAACTAACTCTACTGGTTAGCTCATTTGGAAAGAAAATTTAGCAAATTATTAATCCTATCCCTCTCTGGGTTGAGGGATTACGTATATGTTTCTTCCTTTTATATTTTTATTATTTTTTTATAAGGAAAAATTTTTTTTTCTTGATACAGTCTCACTATGTCGCCCTTGGTAGAGTGCTGTGGTGTCACTGCTCACAGCAACCTCAAAGTCTTGGGCTTAAGCGATTCTCTTGCCTCAGCCTCCCGAGTAGCTGGGACTACAGGCGCCTGCCACAATGCCTGGCTAGTTTTTGGTTATAGTTGTCATTTTTGTTTGGTGGGCCTGGGCTGAATTTGAACCTGCCAGCTCTGGTGTATGTGGCTGTTGCCCTCACCACTGAGCTACAGGTGCTGAGCCTATAAGGAAATATTTAAAATTACATATTAGACTATTAGACTATTTTAGAATTAAAGTGCATGTGCATTTTGACCTGATAGTGGCATTTCTTGACTTAAAAGTGTACTATTAGATCATTTATGGCAGCATTGCTTGCCCTGGCAAAATACTTTGGACCCGTTGCCATCCCACAGCTGGGTAGATTGTGCTGTGTCCATAATACTCGGTGTCCTGCAGCTGAGAAGCGTCAGTTCAGTTTCTGTTGATGTGGGAGGAGGCTGGTGATATGTTGTAAGGAAAGCCAGTGGCAGATTCACATGAGGAGCTAGGTCTGATTTTTTTTGCTGAAAAGCTTAGAATGTAAAAATAAATTTAAAAAATAACAAGAAAACCTTAAAGCACAATTATCCGCTTCTATACGTTTGTATGTATTTTTATAAGCAAGGAAAATGTGCGGAAGAATACACACCTCCTATCAACGTCGATTCTGTGTGTGTCCTGGAGAGGGCCCGGGAGATGGACAGGAGAGAGACTTTTTTCTTCTACTTTTTTGTCTGGACACCTCAGTTTCTTCTGACCTGTTCTAAGCAGTATTTGTATTACTTTTGCAATTTAGACAATTCTCGGGGGGCATAAGGCTTAATACGCAGGGCCGGTCTGTGGGATGCCCGAGCACAGCGCTGGGTGTGTGGCGTGCACTCAGCAAAAAGGAGCTGCTGCTGTTACTCTCAGAAAGGGGGCGGCAAGGTGTTCCCAGGGAGAGCTGCGGGGCAGCAGGGAGTATGTGGGACGTGGAGTCAGGTGGACCAGTTGTCTCCAAACTGCCCTGTGCTTTTGCACAAACCCCTGGCTGCTCCCAGACGCAGTCTTCTTGCCGGTTCCACTGGAAGGGGATAAAACCAGCCTCAGCTTGGAAACCAGGGAGGTTTGGAAACCACAGAACACCTCATAAACCCCCTACCTGGGGAAACATGAAGTGTACGAAAGGTCCTGACAAGTCCTGCAGCACTGACTTTTTAGCAGTGCTGGCACCAGGGAGGAGTGAATGAGAGATAAGGAGTTGTGGCTGCAGGCGTTTTTTAGTGATGAGTGTGAGTGGTACTAGAAGGCAGTTATTAATTGCCTTATGCAGGCAGGGCTGCAGGCTGGTCACAAGGTGAGGCTACCCGATGGGTGACCTCTGACCATGGGACTTTGGGTATGCCTGAGGTAGAGAAGTGGGAGGAGCATTTTTTATCTGCCTAGATTGGGGAAACACACATTTTATGGAGTAAAAAAATTCAATTGCAATGTGTTCATTTTTTCCATATTTGTTTCATTAAAAATATATTTTTTTGAGACAGAGTCTCACTCTGTCGCCTTGGGTAGAGTGCCATAACATCCTTGAAGCTCACAGCACCTTGAATCTCTTGGGCTCAGGTGATCCTGTTGCATCAGCCTCCTGAGTAGCTGGGACTACAGGCTCTCACCACAATGCCAGGCTATTTTTTTATTTTCATTTTTATTAGAGATGGGGTCTTGCTCTTGTTCAGGCTGGTCTTGAACTCCTGAGCTCAAGGGATCCTCTCCTATCAGCCTTCCAGAGTGCTAGGATTATAGGCGTGAGCCACCGTGCCTGGCCGTGTTTCTACATTTATGATCCTTGGTTTGTCAAATAGAGTAGAAAGATTTCAGGCTTGGGAGTTTGGGAGGACTGGATTCTAGCTTCCCCCTTGATGTTGGGGGAGGCCACCTCCTTCCTCACACTCAGTCTTCCTTGTAAAATGAGGCGTTAGATCAATGGTTATGAAGTTTTTAAAACTGTATCATCTGTCCCTTTAAATATGAAATCTTAACAAAAACCTGTCATCCCAAAACCTGATTAAAATACTTTTTAGGTTAAAAATCTAACTTTTAGTCAGCCCTTGAGATCAACGAAAATGTTTTGGTGACAGTGCACGTGTGAAATTTAGAATGATGACGGTTGCTGTCCTATGCAATTGACCAGGACGGAGAAAAGCTTGATTTGTTCAAGATAAGTAGTTGCAAATAAGTTTTTTGTGATAATTTGCTGAGAAATTTTAGAATGCTCTTCTGTCAGACAGAGAGCAGGCATGTGTACTCTATCTAGCCAAGGTGACCATCTCGACTGTATTGAGAGTGGGCAGAATTTCTAAACTGTCCAGCCCACTTTCATAAACTTCAAACAACAAAAAAATTGAGAAGTGTGCCATGTAATACACATGTGACACAGTATAAGGTATAACTAAATGAAGACTCGTAAAACAAATTCTAGAAGGAAACCTCCCAAATTATTAGGAGTGACTGTTTCTCAAGAACAGGACCAGGGAAGGAGTGAGGAAGACCTCTCTGTCCTTTGCATCTTAAGTTTCTGTAATATTTGACTGTTTACACAGATTACAGTGATAGCTTTTAAACAACAAAAACTTCTTCATTTGCATTAAGCGACTTGTCTGATCTTCTCATTTTGTGTGTGTTTTTCCATCTGTTTTCCATTTCAGATTCTTGATGAATTCAAAAAGGATTCCTCCGTGTTCATGCTGGGGTGAGGAGCCTCTGGGTGCTACTGTTCAGGGTGGCCGCACTGGACATGGGAGCCCTCATGCCCAGATGGCCTCCAGGAGGGGAGTCTCTGTGCACACTCTGATGTCCCCTGTGTTGGGAGGTTGGCCATCTCATACCTGGTGTAGCAGTGGGATTTGTGGGGTGTTGAAGGAGGCCCAGAAGCTTCCATAGAGAAGTACCTATTCCTCAGGGCCTTCTGTTCCAGATTGTGCCTCATGGATTGGACAGGTGGATAAATTTTACCAAAATTAAATTGATGTTAATGGTCAAGTGAGTCTGGGGAGTTCCTGATTACACAGGTTTAACGGAAGGAAAATGAATCAAATTGTATAAAATGCTTCCCATGATGTTTGGCGCACCTGTGGGCTCCTAAGTAGTAATATGATCACTAAAAAGTCAGTGCTGCAGGACTTGTCAGGACCTTTTGTACACTTCATGTTTCCCCAAGTAGGGGGTTTATGAGGTGTTCTGTGGTTCCCAAGCCTATCTGAGAGATGCTAGTCACTGAGCTAGTGGCACTGGACCTGGCGCTTGGATCCAGCCCTCACTGATGAGCAACTGTTTCCTCTGCCATTTTCCAAACTAGAAATCCCGACTCCAAAGCACACATGGAATACATCTAATTTTTACTTAGTATTTTAATGAAAAGCTTAGCGTTCAATCATGAGGCTGACAGGGAAGAAGGCAGGAAGTATCCTAATCATTAAAGACAACAGACTTGAGAACCCCGAGCATTTATCAAAGGGAGAAAGCCTGGGCATGTTTTATCTTCTGTAATATTTCGGAAGATCCCTTTTCCTGCTCATCTTCAAGCACTCAGGAAGACGAGCCCCTTTCCCTGGAAAGCTCTGTTCTGCTGAAGTCACTTCCCGTGGAACAGGGGTGGCTCGTGCCAGCCCAGAGGGGTCCTGGTTCTTTGGTGGCTGCCAACCTCCTCTCTGAGGCTGTCTGCCAGGTGGACCCCTGACTCCATTCCGGGGAAGTCTCCCTCCTTTCCCGTGGAAACTTCTCCAACCGGAGGTGTCTGCTTCCTCCATGGTGGCTGGTGGTGCCTGCGTGCTCCAGCTAGCTTCCTCCGTCCATGTAGAGTTTGGGGGGGCTTCACCTGGTTCCCCACTCCTGCCTCGGAGCCTGCAATGTCCCAGCAGCTCTGGGGGTGGCCACTTCTGTTTTCCCAGGGTTGCTCCCTGGATTTGGCTGTACAGCTGGCCCTGCCTGAGCACAGGCTATGCGCCTTTGTGCCCTCCCGTCCCACTTGTCCCACTTTTGTTGATAAAACTCCCTCTCTCCCCCCAGCCCTGCCTTCCCCACCCCCTTATCTCTTTTCTTTTAGGCCTTTGCATATCTGGTTCCCTTTGCCTGACACTTTTTCCCTCCTCCTGGCCACCCCCTCCTCATCCTCAGGAAGTCAGTCAGATGCTCCTTCCCCCAGAAAGCCTCTCCGACGCTCTGGGTCTGGGTTCGGGGCCTTCCCCCCTATTGCACGGGGCCCCTGCCCTGCTTGTTGCACTGCATCTCGACTGCTCCCCAGATACACTGCCCAGGGGGGTCTGCAAGCAGATTCCAGGGCCCCCCTCCGGGTCTTGGTGTCAGGGCCTCTCTTTGTGTCCTTGTAGGTCAGAGAGGTCGTCTCATTCTCCCATATCCTCCTGTTGGCCAGTTTGCCACCTGGCAAGGCAGAGGGACTCAGTGGGGACCTCTGGGTGGCGTCACCTCTTGACTGCTCTGTTGAGTGCATGCGTCTCTAACTGCCCTCCCTTCCTCTGAGGACAGGAACACGGACCGGCCGGATGCCTCTGCTGTCTACCTGCATGACTTCCAGAGGTTTCTCCTACATGAACAGCAGGTGAGAGCGCAGCAAGGCCTGGGGGCGGCTGGGGCGCTGGCGGGATGCTGCCTGGGGCGGTTCTCACCTCCTGGCTACCTCCTGTGTTCACCTGTCGGCCTGTTTCCATGGAATGATTGTCGTCCAGTGCCACTTAAACTCAGCAGCGGGAGCAGCCTCGTAGTGGCCTCTTTCCAAGGCACACATTGAGGCAGCAGAAGAATGGGAATATCTGGGACAGGGCAGGGAGGTGAGGGCCTGGGGATGGGGATGCTGCCACCTGGCTGGCGTCAGCTCCTCCAGCATCATCTCAGGTGTCACCTCCTGGGAAGTCATCCCAGAGTGATGGGAGGATGTGACCAGATTGAGCCTGTAGGTCCCTTTGGGGATAAAATAGCATAGGTTTCCATAAACAAGTGACACATGGGGTGTCTCCCTGGATGGTGGTGGTTTTGTTTTTTGTGCAGTTTTTGGCCGGGGCTGGGTTCGAACCCACCACCTCCAGCATATGGGGCTGGTGCCTTAGTCCCTTGAGCCACAGGCGCTGCCCATCCCTGGCCCTGTTTAAACACAGGCCCTGACTCAGCTGCAGAGTCAGAGGAGTTTTGTCTCTCAGAGGATGCTGAGCAGTATCTAGAGACTTTTTTGATTTTGGGTCGTGACAGCTAGAGGCTGCTACTGGCCTCTGGTGGTAGAGGCCAGGGATACTGCTAACCATTCATAACACACAGGGCAGCCCCTGCCTGCCTCCCCAAGTGTGCAACCCAAGTGCCTAAAGAGTAAGCGTGAGGTTGACCTGAAGTCCCCTCTTAGCTGCACAGCCTTGGACAGGTGGCTTCACCTTTCTGTGGCCTAATCCCCTCCCCCACTTTAAATGGGGAGGGAGAGCCCCTTACCTCTCAGAATCATGGGGTTCAGAGATGATTGTGTAGATCTTTGTGTGTGTGTGTGAGTCCAGATATATGTGAGTATTTACATAGTTAGAACTTTTATATTGTTGGAGTCTTACTTTTTTTCATTTATTTTTTAAAAGACGGTATTTTAGAGCAGTTTTAGATTTGTGGCGAAATCAAGTTTGTTTACTTTTGAAAAAATTTTGTGTTGCTGGGCGGCACCTGTGGCTCAAAGGAGTAGGCGCCAGCCCCATATGCTGGAGGTGGCGGGTTCAAACCCAGCCCTGGTCAAAAACTGCAAAAAAAAAAAAAAAAA